CTTGGTGGCTTGGCCTGGGTCACACTGAATGGGGAGGGGGTAAGTGTCGGTCACCCGTGCTCCTCCTCATTGCATCTCCAGCAACCTAGTTACTTCCCAAGTACCCATCCCTCCGCTGGATCCCTTCTGTCATGAGCACCATTTTCTCCTCCTTCCTGACATCTCTTCCCGTCCAGTCTCTCGGTTCCCCTCATGCATCAAACACCGTCCCCCGTCCTCCCCCTGCCTCCTTACCCACGTCCTCTCCTGCACGCACCTCCAACAGAATTACTGCACAGACCACCTTTCCTCCCTCAGCCCCTCCTCAGACCTCCCCCAGCCGACCTTCCTCTATCACCCCGTCCCCTTCCCCATGTTTCTAAGCTCCAAACATCGGTGAGTCTGCAGGAATGTGAATGAGTCCCCAGACAGCCTCCTCAGAACCATGCTATGAAACTTCCTCCTTCATCTCTGCAAACTCCCGCTCCCCACCTTCCATTTGCCCCTGGCTCCTCTCTCTTCAGGGCTAGCGATAAATAAACACGAGGAGAACAGGGAACAAGACCACTAGGGAGTCCTGCTGGGCCGTCCCTCGCCTCCTGCTGGGCCCTGACATTTGACGGGGTCCATTAGAAAAAGAGGCACTTGGGGAGGGCTGGAAGTGGGGGTGGAATAGGTTTGGAAGAACTGGGGAGAATAAACAGGGTGAGGCTCTCAACAAACCAGAGGCTTTTAGGGGTGCCTGAAGGAGGGGCAGGGAGATGGGGAAAGTAAACAATGCAGAGAGCTGGGGAGGGGAGGGACGGTGGGAGGAAGAGCCGCATGGTGAGCCCCTGCCTGTTCCCCTCCTGCTGAAGTATGACATTTCAGAAGCTGCTGGAACCCCAAAGGAAGTCGAGAAGAAATGGAAGGCAGTGGGCAGCCAGGGTAGAGAAGGAGGAAGAGACAGGAGGCACAGGGGCTGGGGAGGGTGACAGGGGGCAGGCAGAGAGGGAATGAGGAAGGCCCCCTAGAGCCTGCTCACTTCCCACTGGGGCCTGACATTTGAGACGCCGTGGGAAGTTGGAGAAGGGGAGCCAGAACCCTCTGCTGCCCCCCCACCCCCCCCCCCTGCTAAGAGGTGTTTTTGAAGGCTCCTCACCCTGGCAGCTCTGCCATTCTCAGGCCCCACCTTCCTGCACTCTCCTAGCAGGTTACCCCAGACGCTGCTCCAGCTCCCCCTTGCAGCCTGGGGAAGGTTGGCAGGAACAAGGAGGGGCACCGACAACACACACACAGGCTGACCCAGGGCTCTTCTCTGGCTTGCTCGTTCCTCCCCTACCTTCTCTCCTTCCACACTCAGTTCCTCCCGGCAAATTCGCTGCTTCTCACCCCCTCCCCAGCCGACTTCCTCTCAGCCTCTCTTCCGCTCTCTCTCCTGCACAGGATCTGGGCTTGCCCGCAGGAAAAACACACATTCCAGTTTGCGGCTTTCCACCCCCCCCCCTCGCTGCCTCTTCTGGTTTCTCTTCCGTCTCCCTTCTCTCAGGCCCCCCATCTGCTCCCCAGCACCCCTAGGGAGTCACCTGTCACGGTGGATGAGTCTGAGCTAAGACACGGGGCTACGGGGCTCCCCGGCTCCCTGTGACCCCCTCTCCTGACCCCTGCACCCATCCCTCCCAGTCTCTGGCCCCAAACTCCCACCTCCAGCGGACCTGACCCTCTGCTCCTCCCCCTGCCTCTCCCCTAACACCTAGGTTTTTTCCTGTGCGTGGCTGGTCTTCCATGGGGATCCTGAGGGTGGCTACTGAGACACCCACCAGGACAGAACGTGTAATGGCAAAAATGCAGATGCCTGGGACTCGTTCCTGACCAGGAAGTTAGAATCCGTTTTAAGCCCACTCCTCTGGTGATTCTCACGTACCCCGAAGTTTGGGAATCCCCGCCAAAGTGTCAGGAAGGGTTTGAAGTCCTCTCTCCAAGCCCCTTACCATCCTTGCTCTCTTCTCTCCAAGCACCCCTTCAGCCCCACTCTGCCCACTCCTCCCTCACAAACCTGCTTCGCAGAATGACTACATCCGGGGTCCACCCAGGTGAAGACGACCAAGTGCTCACCTCCGTACTCCACTCTACTCTCTCCCAGCCCCTTACGATGCTGGGGCCACATGTCAGAGAAGATAAATTTGAGGTCCCAAGTCTCTTTCCTTCCCTGTGGCACATACTTCCCCATACTCCCAATTACTCATAGGGAATAGGGTGGGAAAGGAATCTTACGGAGCCACCCTCTACACCCGACCCAAATGTTCTTTCCTTCCCCCGTTCTCTGTTCCGCGCCTCCCTCACCCTACATCCTATTTCCCTTCTCACATCTCAGAGGCCACACGCTGTAAGGAAGATAAACTCAAGACCCAAGTTCCACAGGATGCCCAAGAATTGACCTCTAACCCACTCCTCCTCATCGCCCCCCTCCCCTACCACCATTCTTTCCTGCTCTCTCTCCTGCCTATACCCAGACTCCCCTCTATCGCCATGCAATGGTAAGGGCTCCTGTGTGGACCTCAAATCCAATTCATTTTCCCAGGGCCTCTGCCCATCTCCTGACCATTAGCTTTCCCAAACTATAATATGCCACATACCCCACAGTCCAGGAATCTTCAACAGAATAGGGCTCACAGCTACCTTGCTGTTTGCTGTGATAAATAAACCAGAGCCCTCAAGTCCCTCATCTTTTTCCTTATTCAGAGTTCCAACCTGCTGCCAAGATTTACCTTGTTACCATGGTAAATCTAAAGCCCTGCTCCAGCTCCTCACCTCTGACACCTCCTCCATCCCCTGAACCCATCCCGGGGTGAGTTTACTCCCAGAGGACCAGGATCAGCTTGTACCCTAAATCCACCACCAGTTTCCCCAACCCTCCCCCCCCCACTTCCACGCATTCTGGGGAGCAGAAAGGTCTGCCTCACGGCCTGATTAACCCTCTTAAACCCCCAGACCCTCATCTTGAACCTCCAGCCCCTGTGACTCTCCCCAAGCTCCTGCACCCCCAGCCCATCTCCCCTGCTCGTCACACGTGGGAGGGGTCTGCCTCGCAGTACCAGAAGTCACTCAGACGGAGGCCCGTGCAGCTGGCCCCCTGCCCCCCCACGCCCCCACCGCCCGCCCACTCCCAGGTCGGGGGCTACCTTGCTGTCGTGGTGGATGAGCTTGAGCTCATAGTCCGGCAGGATGTCCCTGCGGCTATTCACGTCCTCCAGCGCCATCTCCACCGCGGGCTGGCAGGCCTGGCCCCCGGGCCAGCCCCCGCTCATGGGAAACAGCGCCCCGATGTACACTGCGCGCCGCTCTGAGGAGGGGTGCGGGGGGACCCGCGGGTGAGGCCGCGGGAGATGAGGGGAGTGGGAGGCCCACAGCGGAGCCACCCCCGCCGCCATCACCACTAGGAGCGGCAGCGGCCACCCCGCCCGGGGAGCCGGGGCCCCCGGACCCATGACCGGGAGGAGAGGGGCTGTTTGGGGAGGGGGAGGAGCTCAGGGGGGACACTTTTCCCGGGGAGGGCTGCTGAGGGGGTGTCGAGGAGGCGCCTCCATCCTGGCCTGTGTAGGGAGGAGAGGGCGAGGGCCCCAGGGGAGCGGGGAAGGTTGGCTTCCTAGGGCCCCCACGGCTCCAGCTCCCGCCCCTGCCACCGCCACCTCCACCGCGGACTCTCCTCGCGGACTGACTGACCGACCGAGGGGAGGAGGAGGAGGAGGAGATGTCGGGCTGGGAGGGGGCCCTGACGTCACGGGCGGCGCGCGGCAGCTGCGGGGGGAGGGGCGGGGAGGGAGGCGCGCGCGGCCGTGGGAACGACAGGCCGAGGGGAGGGGCGGGGAGGGGCGGGGCGGAGGACGCGACCCCCCCCCCCCCCGCCCCGCGGGAAAGGCCTGGACCGGGAAGCGGGGGGAGGTCCCAGCTAGGGGGCGGTCAGGGAGGAGCCGAGAGGGGAAGGGGCGTGCCGGGAGGGCGGGGGGAGCCGAAGCTCGGGGGAGCCGGGGATGGAGACGCGAAGGACGGCGGTGGGACGCGCGTGTCTGAATCGGGGGTGTGGAGGGATGGGGCGAAAGGCTGAGGGTGTGGGGGACAGGCCGATGGCAGCGGCTTAGGAGAGAGGTGGTTGGGTGGGAAGGGGGTGGCGTGAAGGGGAGTGATGGGGCGGAGGCTGGCTACCCGGGGCTGGGGGGACACAGCTCGGGAAGGAATGGGAGCTGCGAGAAGGCAAAGGGTGGAGGTGGAGGGACCGCGGTGCGGAGGGGCCGAAGGGGGGAGAGCCAGGCCCGGCCAGGGGGAGACGGCTGCGCGGGGCTGCCGGGGTGGTCCCGCGGAACCCCCGGGGAAGCCGGCGGCGGACGCGCGGGGTCTGCCCGCGCCCCCCGCCCCCGGCCGGGCTCTGCCCTTTGGCAGGAGCGGAGCCCAGGGCAGGGCAGCCAAGCGGGGAGTTGGGAGGGACCGCGGCCTCGCAGGAAACCGGGACTGGAGGCAGAAAACAGGTAGGGAAAGAAGGGGCCGGCCGCGAACTGGGAGGGGGTGGTTGGGGGGAAGATGGACAAGACCCCACGGCCTGCGGGCAGAACCCCTGGGGGTGGAGGGTGAAGAGTGAGGGGTAAGGGGATTGCAGTGCGCGAGATGAGGGTTTCTGATCTCACCTGAGTGCGGCGCTCGATTCACTGGCAGCAGGAAAGACGGGGATCAGAGAAGAGTTACCACTGGCGCCCAGCTTCCCCGGCCTGATCCCCAGCCCCCTCCCACACCTGTCCAGGCCGGAGAGGACCGGGTAGAGCAGAAGCCTGCGTTTCTGAGGGGAGGGTGCCTGGGGATAAGAGCAAGGTGGGGCTGTGGGTCAGGACCTGTCGGTTTTCTTCTTTTATTTTTCATAGGACAACAGAATTTGAGACAAGAGTGCCAACAGCTAAGACATGGGCAGATCCTGGTTTTGTGGAGCCTAAATATTATAAAATGCAGGGGGTCTCTCTTTAAGAGAAAAAAAATACAAATTACAAATACAATTGATTTTAAACTATTGCTTTTAAAATCTTACTTTGGCATTTTTTACAAAAAGCTATGACCATGTGAACACATTATTAGAGCACAAGAAGAGACCTGGGTGAATGAGGAGCCCTGACGCTTAAATTGCATTAGCTTCATGGTAAATCCACCCCCGGAGGGGACTCTCAGTTTCCACAATGGGATGGTAAACTACAAGCAGAATAATTACGTTGAGGGAGGAAAGCCAGGTCCAGGACCTTGAAAGATTCTCCAAGAATAGGGGAAGCATGGGGTATGCCTGCATCTTGCAGAGAAGACCGCAAAGGGGGAATCTGGGTGCCCAGGAAAGGGGGAATTCGCAGAACTGACTGACAGAAAAGGTGCTGCACCCAAGACTGAGTCCCTTGGGAAGGATGGAGCTTGTCTGAGAGTTCCAGAAAAGGACTGTCCTCTTTCCCTCCCCAACCCTGGGTGGTCCTTAGCACCCTGAGAGTTCTGCCCCCAATTTTAAGCCTTTTAAATTTTTACCCTGATAATTTTCCACCCCAGATATTCTTTCCAATCTTAACATTTTTTTTCTAAGTATGACATATGATTTATTTCTGAGTCTTTACAATAATTCAGTTATATAACAAATGGAGAGGAACCAGTTGTAGAAGAGGGTTATGCATAGAAAGTTCTAAGTTTAGAGAAAGGGACTGAGGCTACGGGAAACTGGGGTATTTAAACCTTAAGAAAGGTGATGGAGGGTGAGACTCATAGAGGAAAAGAGAACATGTGGGGAATGGGGAGCAGGGAGGAGATATAAAAAGAGGGAGGGAGAGGAAGGAAGCCCCCAGGGGTAAAAGGCGCACTGGGGACAGCAGGAGGGGGCTGGAGACAGGTGGGCGGGGGGGAAAGAGTTGGGTTTTCACCTTCACTCCCCCAAAGCCCCCCATGTTGCATAGCACCCCGTCTTTCCCGCCAGCCCTGCCCACCCCACTCCCATCCTCTGCAAGCGCCCTCAGCTGCAAGCACGCAGCCATTCCCCTCACCCTGGCAGTGGGGCTTGGGGGTGCTCCACTGGCCCTGACTACAGATGCTCCGGGAGCTGCCCACAAGATGGAAGTCAGGGTCACATCGGAAATCCACCCGGGCTCCGTCCAGAGTGGGGAGGTCCCCACCCGTCAGGAAAACCTTCCCATTTTCCAGGGCCAAATAGGACTTGGAGCAGATGCGGACTGTGGAGAGAGATGAAAAATGAGAAAGAGAGGCACGTTGGGAAAGGCTCCTTCCCCTTAAAGAGCAGGGGTCTCAGATTGGGGTTTGGGGCCTCAAGCATCCTACTCTGCAGGAAATCAGGGGTGCAAAGGATTTGCGTTTCTAGTTTCCATTCCTCCCTTAACCCTATAAGCATCCACACATTACCAACAGAAAAAAGGAAAAAGCGTTTCCATGGTAGGAACCCGAGATGGAGCTAGAAGCACACAGAAATGGATCTTTTCAAAGTCAGTGGCAGTGGGCTGTTCCCTGGCTTTGAGACATACAGATGGATGTAACTTTAGATGCCCAATCAGATTTACCTTTCTTATTATAGTTGACTTACACTAATGTTAAACTGGGTTTTGCTTTGTGGGTATATGATCTCTGCGTTGGAGACAGGTATTCAAAAATGCCATGAAATCATTTTGAGTGTTTTTGCACAATCTGTCACTAATAATCCTCAAAGAGAAGAACTCACAAGATGAATAATCAAGTTATTTTATCAGTCAGTGGCCTAATGCAGGGAGGATGAAATGAAATGAAAGGTGTGGTCGCCTAGCTTGACTGCCTCCAAGTGCACATAGTAAAATCCTTCTTACATAGTGTTCGCTCAATAAACGTATTTGTGAATTTTGTTACAGTGGATTTAAAGTGCTGACTTGTAAGCAATGATGGTAAGTTTGAGGCAGGAAGAGGAATGGTCTTGAAGAGAAGAGGGGCTTTGCAAGGCTACTCACCGCATCGGCTGGGTGTGTCCATATCTGTCCAGGAGCCGTTGGCCAGGCACTTTCGGACCTTGGGCCCCACCACCTCGCGCTCTCCCCGGCACACATACTCAATCTCATAGTCCACCGGCAGGAAGTTGATAGCCTTCACCTGGTCGCGAGTCAGGCCCCTGTACCTGATGCCCCCTTCCCAAGGCGGGTGTATGATCTGGCAACCTGAGGGGCGAGTCCCAGGAGTCAGAGAGGGAAGGGGGGGGGCGGGCAGAGTCAGCTGCGGGAGGCGCAGGAGCATAGGGCGTGGTCAGTGGGCAGGTGGCGACCAGGGGCCCAGATGGGATGTTAGGGGGTGCGAGTAGGAATGGGTACAGAACCCTGGGCTAAAGGACAGAGAGCCCTGAGCCAGGTTTAAGGCCAATGAGAGAGCTCACAAGTGAGGAGGGAAGCGTGCTGGTTGGGGGTAATAGGGAAAATTAAGAATTCATGAAAGGGTAAATATGCCAGTGAGCTTGGTAAAACAAGCTAAAGGAGGATTTTTGAGTAAATTAGGGTGAGAGTACAAGGGAGGCTTCTTAGGCTACCCAGGCAGCAGTGTGGGCAGGAAGGAGGGGTGCGGTCGAGAAAACAATGCAGGGTCACCGAAAGGTGGCCGATGCAGTGACGTGAGGCAGAGAAGAAGGGTGCTGGGTCATAAGTGGCGTGAGGGAAAGGAGGTCAGGGGTGTTAACGTGGGGCCGGGCAGACAGGGTCGCCAGGCCGGGACGCTAGCTATGTAGGGCTGACGGGATAGTAATGAGGACCAGAAAAGGGGGGTGCAAGGAGGGGCAGAGTGGGTGGGGTGCCCGAGGTGGCCGGTGAAGGTGCACCTTCTGAGGTGGCGTTGGGGGTCTGCGCCCCGCCCGCGCCCGGGGGGCGGAGGAAGAGCGGCGCCAGCGGCAGCAGCAGCGGCAGCAGCATCTGAGGGACAGGCGGCCGTGAGGACTGGACCGAGCCCCGCCGGCGCGGCCCAACCGGGGTGGGGGGGGGCAGCCTCGCTCGCCGGGCCCCGCAGGCTCCGACCCGGCTCCGACCGGGCTCCGCCTGCGGACGAGACGCGCGCCCCGCGGAGGAGGCGGGGGCGGAGCCCAGCGCGGGGCGGGGGGGGGGGGGGGGGGAGAGCGCCTGTCCCCACCCTCCTCCTGCCTCCCTCGGCCCCCCACCCTCCCGGGACTCCACCTCTAACCACCTCCTCTCCCCCGGCCCCCGCGCTCCCGGCCGCGGCCCCGCGCGCCCCGGCGCGGCCCTCCCCCGCGCGCCCCTCTCCGAGCCCGGCTCCCGGCCCGGCTCTTACCTCGGCGCGCCGGCCCAGCTTCCCGGCTCTCCCGGCCTCAAGGCCCCAGGCCCGGCCGCTCCTCCCGCTCCCCCTCCTTTCTCCTCAGCCTTCCCCTCCTCCCAGCCCTCCTCCCCGCGAATCCGGGCTCCTGCCCGGCCAGGGTCGCGCTCCCCCAAGCCCCACCCGGTCTCTCCTTCCCGGGGCGGCGGCGGCCGCGGGAGCGGGAGCGGGAGCCGGGAGCGAAGGAGGCGGCGCCGGGGACCGGGGGAGGCTCCGGGCGGAGGGAAGAAGGAGGTGCAGAGAAGACGGGCGGGGGGAGGGAGGGGGAGACCGAGCCGAGGGCGCCTCCCACAAGCCGAGCCCCGGGAGCCGCCCCGGATCCCGGCCCCGCCCTGGACCGCCCACGGCGCCGGGGGGCGGGCGGCGGCGCGTGGGAGGCTGCGGCGCGCACCGCAGCCGGGTGGGGGCGAAGGCGGAGGAGCGGGCGCCGAGGCTGGGGATCTGGGATGCAGGTGGAGCGGCTCGGGGTCGGGGTGAGAGAGAGAGAGGCGGAGGCCGGAGCCACGAGGGGAGCGAGGCAGGTGGGAGGGAAAGGGGAAGCCGAGGTCAGGCCGGGAAGGGCGGAGGAGGGGGGCGAAGGCCGGGCGCCCCGAGCGGCTCCCGCCGCCCAGCCGCTTTGCCTCGCTGCCCCGGGCAGGCAACTCGGGGAAGGGACTGAAGGCGAAAGCCGGGGAGGGGAGCATCACAGGAGAGAAATGGAAGTAGTGGAAGGGAAGGAAAAGGGGACAAAGCGGCCTCCAACGGGCTGGAGCCAACCTTATCTTTCTTCACTCCAGCTGGGCCTGTCAGCATTTCTGGATAATGGGGAGCTGGGAGCCTGGAGATTGCGGGAAAGTGCAGGCCTCTGGACAGTCCCCTTGGCTCCTCGCCTTTGTGCGGTGATGAGGGTGTGTGTGAGTGTGTGTGTGTTCATGGGAGTGAAGGGC